TAGGCCGGGTGGGAACTGCTTAAAGTGTTACTAAACCCAGGGCCCTGCATTCACTATATCTGGTCTCCCACAGTACACAAAACATGGACATGCAATTGTTTTAGTACATATAAACTGCTAAATACATTTTCTCATCAGCAGAGCAATCTTGTGACTTCTATCAGTGTCCAGCCCAGCACTAGCTAAAGCTTGTAGGAAGAGTTTTCTTTCTGCTCTAGGAGGATGGAAATCCCCTGACCTCTGTCTGACCAGTGCTGATTGGCCCTGTGCTGATCACATGCACTTTCCCAAGAAAACAAAAACCTCTCTAACAATATGCACCAAACTGAGCATGTGAGATAAGTGGTGGTCACTTGAAAAATGGGAGGAACAGCAAAGAAAGGATCAAACAGCCTTTTTACACAATGCAGAGGATTAACCCCCTAGGTTCCACAGTGAGTATAATAAGCATGCTTTACTGCATTTAACAAACTTATTGCACTGTTGTGGGTTTAGTAACACTTTAGTATTCAGAATAGCAATGTCCAAATTACTTCTCACTAAGGGCATAGTCAACAAATATTAGTAACTCTTTAATATGTTACATTGCTGTTTGTTCATCAGTTCAAAAAACAGATTATGTACGACTGGCAAACCATTTAGTCCTTACTACCAGTAGAAGCAGTGCTGCACAGGCTTTCACACTGGTAGAATGATCCGGTCAGACACAAACAAGCATATTTGGAGTGTCTTCAGTCACTAGTAAAGGCATTATGTCACTATTCATTATTAAATTGTTACTAAACCCAGGACCAGGGGCGGACTGACAACTCATGGGGCCCCTGGGCAATAGGGGATCATGGGGCCCCTGTGTCCTTGCCCAAACTCAAAAAAGCCTATGAAAAAAGTACCAGGGGCATCTCATGGGGCCACCTACTGACAGTGCCCGAGTTTCCAAATGTTCAGTCTGCCCCTGCCCAGGACCCTGGATTCACTATAACTGTTCTCCAGTACACAGGACATGGAAATGCAATTATTTTAGTAAATATAAACTGCTAAATACCTTTTCTCATCAGCAGTTAGAGCCTATCAAGCCTATCAGTGCCTAGCAGAGCACATGGTAAAGCTTGTAGGAGGAGTTTTCATTCTGCTCTAGGAGGATGCAGAACCCCTGACCTCTGTCTGGACAGTGCTGATTGGAGTTATGCTGATCACATTTACTCAAGGAAAAAAAAAACTCTCTAGCAATACACACCAAACTGAGCATGTGCAGAGTGACTCCACACGATATGTCTTATCAGGAGATAAGAGGAGGGCCCTTGAAGAAGGGGAGGATCTGAGAAGAGAGGATAAAAGAGCGTTCACAATGCAGAGGATTAACCCCTTAGTTTCCACAGTGAGTATAACAAGCATGCTTTACTACATATACAGACTGATCTTACTGTTGTGGGTTTAGTAACACTTTAAGGTCTATTCGTAGCACAACAGCTGCTATCTGAGACACCATGGAAGGCCTATTTTGCTTAAAGCATATCTAGGGTCAAAATGTAAAATCAAATATTCATTTCTACATTGAATTTCTGATATTTCTAGCCTACTCTTATTAATGTGAGCAGTAATGAAGTTTGTAACTTACTATTTGAAGACTCCAACACAATTACTACTTAGAATTCTGTGACACATAGTTACTATGCCTGGAGAGTAGGCATTGCTGTGTCACACACTTCACAGAGCCTGCCTTCTGAACTACAGAGGTGCTGAGAGGAGGAGTTTCAGGAGGCGGAGTCAGTACAGGTGTATGGGATATGTAGTCCTTACAAACAGAAAATAAATAGCAGAGGAGAGGCAGCAAAGCATACAGATAGTCTTGGAATTTGTGGAGAGAGATGGCCAATAGACAGGCAGAACTCACAACATGAAAGGAGATTTTTCAAGTAAGCAATACTGCATTGTCAATAATGACTATTGATTGTATGGTTATTGCAATGCTGATGTTATAAAATGAAAGTGTATGATGTAGTCAAAAATCCCCTTTAAAGTTTATCCTGTTGTACTAAATATAAAATATTTCTATACAATATTTCATATGTACCTGATTAAAAACAATAGATCAGACCTTTAAATGGTTATTGATTACTTGCTCCCAGTTAGGACATTTAAACAGTGTCCTTAGGACGTGGACACAAGCCTACACTGTTGATATCATAGACAGCTGACACCAATCCTGTGAACAGTGTGGGAGAGGACTGGTCTGGTGAGGAGGAAGGAATGAGCAGAAGTGACCTCTGCTCCCCTGCTGATTTTGTAATGATGAAGTATATGAGAAAGCTTGAGACACACAGCCAGTATAGCAGTTCACAGGGCTGTTTATACAGTAAGTCTAGGTTCACACCTATGCATTTTCCACTGCGTTTTGCAGAAACGCACAGCAGTCCTTTTAACATGATTTCCTATAGGACAGGTTCACATCTCTGCGTTTTCACCAGATGCTTTTTTTGGAAAGGGTCAGGGACTTTTTTAAATGCAAAATGTTGCATTTTTGGTTCTATAGACTTCAATGGAGACGCTGCAAAAAAGCATGTGGTGTGTTTTTGATGCGTTTTTCATTTTCATAGTTAACTACATACAGTGAAGGAAATAAGTATTTGATCCCCTGCTGATTTTGAATGTTTGCCCACTCACAAAGAAATGATCAGTCTAAAAATCGAATGGTAGGTGTATTGTAACACTTGAGAGACCGAATAGCAACAAAAAATTCATTAGAAATGCATGTCTAACAAATGATGCACTGATTTGCATGTTCATGAGGGAAATAAGTATTTGATTCCCTTCACAAAACATGACTTAGTACTTGGTGTCAAATCCCTTGTTGGCAATCACAGAGGTCAGACGTTTCCTGTAGTTGGCCACCAGGTTTGCACACATCTTAGGAGGGATTTTCAACATTCAAAATCAACAATAAAATCAAAGCGCTGAGCAAACTGTTGGCGCTATATAAATTCTGTATAATAAAATACTTATTTCCTTCACTGTAGTTAGTCTGGCTGAAAAAAAGACAAAAGTCCATCCAGTTCAAGCATTCACAAAAAAAAAAAGTTATAATCCTATACCGACAGTTGATCCAGAGGAAGGAAAAAAAAACCCCAGCAAAGCATGATCCAATTTGCTCCTGCAGGGAACAAAATTCTTTCCTGATCCCCCGAGAGGCAATCCGATATTCCCTGGATCAACTTTACCAATAAATGTTAGTATCCAGTAATATTCTGTGTATCTAAGAAAGAATGCAGGCCTTTTTTAAAGCAATCCACTGAGCTGGCCAGAACCAACTCTTGAGAGTCTATGCCACATTTTCACAGCTTTTACTGTGAAGAAACCTTTCCGTATTTGAAGATTAAATGTATTTTCCTCCAGATGTAAAGAGTGCCCCCTTGTCCTCTGTGATGACCTCAGGGTGAATAGCTCTACACCGAGTTCACTATATGAACCACTGATGTCTTTATACATGTTGATCATATCCCCCCTTAATCTCCTCTTCTCAAGAGAGAATAAATTCAGTTCCTTTAATCTTTCCTCATAGCTGATCTCCTCCATGCCTCTTATCAGTTTGGTTGCCCTTCTCTGTACTTTCTCCAGTTCCCCAATGTTCTTTTTGTGAATTGGAGCCCAAAACTGAACTGCGTATTCCAGATGAGGTCTTACTAATGATTTGTACCGGGGTAATATGATATCTCTCTCTCTGGAGTCTATACCTCTTTTAATACAAGAGAGGATTTTGCTCGCTTTAGAAACCGCAGCTTGGCATTGCATGCCATTATTAAGCTTGTGATCTACCAGAACTCCCAGATCCTTTATTCTGGCCAACAAGTTGAAAAAAGAAAATGTGTCAAATACACATGTGCAAAAAACGCAAAACGCACTTCAAATAGCACTGCAGAAACGGATAAAACGCAAACTGCATAGCTGTGAACCTAGCCTAACACCTAGTTTGCAGTGATGCTAGTAATCCATAAAATTCTATCACAGATTTTGTGATTTCAAAGAGATGAAAGCCATGGAGCCATTGTGGTTTCCATCTCTGAACTCTTTCCCATAATCCTTTGTGACTGTAAAAGTATTCCAGCAGCATAGGGTGGCCTGACTTTTCCTGGCCACAAGAGGTGGACCCTGGGGGGTACTATTGTACACTGCAAAGAGCAAGACAAAATGTGGGCCTTTGCCTGCAGAGATTTGTGAAGACTGATTTGTGCCTCTGATCAGACCATATCTGCATGAGAGGCTGTCTATGAACATTAGTAAATGGAGCATTGCAAGGGTTGCTAACTACAGGTGTGCCTCAGTTTACAAATTTAATGTGTTCTCTGGGACATTTCGTATTGCAAATAATTTGTAAACTGAAATGTAGTTTCCCATAGGAATGCATTGAAAACCAATTAATCCATTCTGGAGGTCAAAAAAAAGTAAAAAAAAGTCATATCTGTTCAAAACTCTTTATAAAGTGCACTTTAAAGACATAAATACTGTACAGGGACATGATTAAAAATGAATTCGTAAATACATTGAAAACCAGTTAATCTGTTCCGGAGGTCAGAAAAAAGTCAAAAGTCTTCTGTTCAAAACTCTTTATAAAGTGCACTTTAACCGCCTCCCGCACGCCATAGAGCAAAACGACGGAATCAAGGCAGTTCTCTCGTTCTGGGAGGACATCATATGACGTCCTTCCATTCTAACCGTGCATGCGCGACTCCGGGAGCGTGCAGCGCGGCGATCGGTGGTGCACTGTGTCCCTCGGACACAGCGGATCACCAATCAACGGAAAGAGCGAAGATGTAGGCTCGGTCATGTGATCAGCTGTGTCCAATCACAGCTGATCCCATGTAAATAGGGAAATGACGGTTATCGGCATTTCTCTCCTCACAAGCTGTCACGCTGACAGCTCAAGAGGAGAGGAGAGCCGGCAATTGGCATCCCTCAGAGAGGACATGTACACAGATCATCAGAGCACTGATGATCAGTGTGCCCTGATGATCTGTGTAGCCCCAGCAGTGCCAGCTGTCAGTGTCCATCAGTGCTCATCCATGCCACCTGCCAGTGCCCATCAGTGCCACATCAATGCCACATTTCAGTGCCAATCTGAGCTGCCTTTCAGTGTCACCCATCAGTGCCAGTCAGTGCCACCTATCAATGTCAGTCAGTGCCACCTATCAGTGCTGCCAATCAGTGCCACCTATCAGTGCCGTCTATCAGTGCCAGTCAGTGCCGCCTATCAGTGTGCATCAGTGCCGCCTATCAGTGCTGCCTATCAGTGCATCCTCATCAACGCACATCAGTGAAGGAGAAAAATTAGTACTGAAAGCTGAAAATTGGCCTGGGAAGGAAGGGGGTATACGTGCCCGGTAGGCAAGTACTGCCTATCAGTGTTGCCTAACAGTGCCAGCCAGTGCCACCTAACAGTGCCAGTCAGTGCCGCCTATCAGTGCCATATATGAGTGCTGCCTTTCAGTGCCCATCAGTGATGCCGGTCAATGCCCATCAGTGCCACCTACCAGTGCCTTCTCATCAGCGTCCATCAGTGCAGCCTCATTACCGCACATCAGTGAACGAGAAAAATCACTTATTTACAAAATTTTATAACAAAAACTAAGACAAAACATTTTTTTTTTCAAAATTTGCAGTGGTTTTTGGTTTGTTTAAGAAAAATAAAAAACCCAGAGGTGATTAAATACCACCAAAATAAAGCTCTATCTGTCACAAAAAAATTATAAAAATTTCATATGGGTAAGTGTTGCATGACCGCGCAATTGTCATTCAAAGTGCAACAGCGCTGAAAGCTGGAAATTGGCCTGGGCAGGAAGGGGGTATAAGTGCCCGGTAGGCTAGTGGTTAAAGGCATAAATACTGTACAGGGACATGATTAAAAAAAATTTGTAAATGCACTGAAAACCAATTCATCCATTCCGGAGATCAGAAAAAAGTAAAAAAAAAGTCTTATCTGTTCAAAACTATTTATAATGTGCACTTTAAAGACACTATAAACTCCCAGGCGCAATGCATCCTGGGGAAACTTGCTTCGTATTGCAAAAAAGATTTGTAAACCGAGGCATTATTTTCAATGGATTTTCATTTGTAAACCCCAAAATTATGTTAACCGAGGCATTCCTAAACCGAGGTATGCCTGTACCAGTATACTACTAGACTGGCTGGTAAATCGTTGTTACTAATGCACTCAATAGGAAAAAATAAGACAATTTTTTTTCTAGATAAGGTGGCAACCTTAAACACTACACAGTGACTGATAATGAGGACCAGACAAAATATATCTACTGTTGGATAATGCAGACTTGTTTCTTAGACGCCTCTGTTATAATTCATGTGATTGTAAGGAAAAAAAGTGTTTCTCTTAAAAAAAAAATAGCATTAGGCTTTCTGCCTAAAGGATTTCCACAAGGTTATCTACAACATTTAGGATGCCCATGTGTAGCCAGCAATTAATAAACCCCAGTAGGGTCCCTGGAACTAAAGCAAAACAGTATGCTAGTGCCAGGGCATTAGCACTGATATATTTTGGCCCATGAAAGTTAGACTTTGGTGCAGAGGATCCCAGGACAGAAGAGATGAGAACGTAAACAAGGATTATGTATACTAAAAGAGTATGTGTCACACCTGTGGCCTGCTGGAGGTCACTTTGTAAGGCTTTGGCAGGGCTCATCCTGTTCCTCCTTGCACAAAGGAGCAGATAGTCCTGCTGATTGGATAAGGAGCTTTTACGGCCCTATCCAGCTCTCCTAACTGCCTGTCTTCTGGAACCTCCTCCATGCTCTTGAGACTGTGCTAGAAGACACAGCAAACCTTCTGGCAATGGCACATATTGATGTACCATCCTGGAGGAGTTGGACTGCCTGTGTAACCCTTGTAGGATCCAGGTATCGCCTCATGCTACCAGTAGTTACACTGACCCTAGCCAAATGCAAAACTAGTGAAAAACTAGTCAGAAAAGATAAGTAGAGAAAAAAATGTCAGTGGTGTCCACCTGTAAAACCACTTCTGTTTTGGGGGTTATCTCATTGTTGCCCATCTAGTGCACCTGTTAATTTCATTAACACCAAAGCAACTGGAACTGATTAACAACCCCCTCTGCTACTTACCTGACCAGATCAATATCCCAGGAGTTTAACTGACTTGATGCTATACCCTGATTAAAAAGTGTGACTGTAATTTGCAGTGTGTGTATGTATATATATGTATATATATATATATATATATATATATATATATATATATCAAAATATATAAACTTTAATTGGGAACTATTCACTGTGTGTGTGTGTGTGTATATATACATACAATAAAATCAATATATATAATCTTCAATTGGGAATTATTCACTGTGTGTGTGTATGAGTGTATATATATATATATATATATATATACACAATAAAATCGAAATATATAATCTTTAATTGGAAATTATTCACTGTGTGTATGTGTATATATATATTTATAACCAAGGGATAGATATGTAAAAGTTTAGAGGAATAGAGCTCCCTTGGCTGTGACATACAGTATGAGGATGTCTGAGTTATGAGCTGTCTCACATTTTAGACTGACATATTTTGTACACAGACGCAGGGATGAATGATTTAATGCAACCTCTGTGATGATACAAAGTTGTTCTGTTGCTCCCAGTCAGCTGATTGTGGGTGCTGTTCTATTTTAAACCCACGTGGAAGTATGTTTTAGGACCATCTGCTACCGGCCTCAACCCAGATGATACAGTTAGCGCCTGCCCACAGTATCCTCTCCTCCTTCAGACGCTTCCAGGAACAAGCAGTGAGTCAGGCATACAGCTGAACTCACATTCAGCTAGCCCTGATATCCTCTGTGTCAGGCTGGAATGTACAACCAACTCTTCACAGGTGTGCAGCTTCAACTTCCTACTGAGGCTTAAAGGTGACACACACTATTGGCCCGCTGATCTGCCCTGTCTGGAAAACCGTCACTGAGTCCCTAATGTGTACTTGAAAAGTGATTCTGATTTGTGAAAAGTTTCATTTTACACCTATGCTGTTAACAGGTTGGGATGGTTTTTTTTTCTTTTCCAGCATGATAAAAAAAATTTCTTCAACCTACCAGGACTGTCAGCTGAAGTGTAGCCTCTACATTAAGGCTGGCCATACATTATACAATTTTCTTGACAATTTTGCTTTAGATTTACCAAAAAACATATAATATGAGGTCAAACCTAAACAACACTTTCAATTGTATCCAATTAGCCAGGTCCTTGCATTACACAGTTGAAGGTAAATCTAAAGGAAATGGGCAGAAATTGGACAGAAAATTGTATAGTGTATAGTCATCTTAAGGTAGATCAGGTGCCATTTGCCAAACCCCGAACTGAACTACTTCTCTCACAAAGGCAGAGGCACAGGGATGTAACATACCAAGCGTGCAGCGCTGGTCGCTGCACCCTCCTCTCAAGTCCATCTCAGACACATGTGTGTGATATCACAGGGGATGGATGAGTGAGGAGAGAGGGTGGGGATCAGTGCAGCAGATTAGCGAATAGCAGTGTGTAGGTGGTGCTTCACTGTTCTACGTTTCTGCCCTGCTGTACACACAAATTTCAGCTGTGCTGAGCCCATTCGCTGTCCTACTGACTGCTGAAAATCCACTGCCCACTGACCATCCACTGATTACTGACCATCCACTGCTTACTGATCAGCCAGTGCCCACTGACCATCCACTGCCCACTGACCATCCACTGCCCATCCATTGCCCACTAACCATCCGCTGCCCACTGACCATCCACTGCCCACTGACCATCCACTGCCCACTGACCATCCACTGCTTACTGACCATCCACTGCTTACTGATCAGCCAGTGCCCACTAACCATCCACTGCCCACTGACCATCTGCTGCCCACTGACCATCCATGCCCACTGGCCATCCATTGCCCACTGACAATCCATTGCCCACTGACCATCCACTGCCCACTGACCATCCATTGCCACCACTGATTACTGACCATCCACTGCATCATCCACTGCCCACTGACCATCCATCTTACCACCAACCATCATGCATGCCCGCTGACTACCATCCACTGCTTACTGACCATCCCACTGCTTTCCCCACTGATCATCCCTACTGCCCATCCACTGCCCTGACCATCCACTGCTTACTGACCATGTCCACTGCTTACTGATCATCCACTGCCCTTGCCCACACGGACTACCCACTGCTTACTGATCATCTACTTCCCCCCTACTGACTACTGACCATCCACTGCCCTAATGACACCATCCACTGCCCTACTGAAACCATCAACGCACGGTTCACTGTCCTACTGACACTGTCCACTGCTCTACTGACACCATCCACTGCCCTACTGACACTGTCAACACACGGGCCACTGCCCTACTAATACCATCCACTGCCCTACTGACTGTCCACTCTGTCCACTGCCCACTGTCCACACACTGCCACCCCTACTGACTCTGTCCACACACTGTCCACTGCCCTACTACCACACACTGACTGCCCTACCGACACACACTGTCCACTGCCCTACTGACTGCCCATACTGCCCTACTGAAACCATGTCGCACACTGCCCTACTGACACTGTCTGCTCTACTGACACCATCCACTGCCCTACTGACTCTGTCAACACACTGTCCCTACTGACTCTGTCCACACACTGTCCACTGCCCTACTGACTCTGTCCACACACTGTCCACTGCCCTACTGACTCTGTCCACACACTGTCCACTGCCCTACTGACTCTGTCCACACACTGTCCACTGCCCTACTGACTCTGTCCACACACTGTCAACTGCCCTACTGACTCTGTCCACACACTGTCCACTGCCCTACTGACTCTGTCCACACATTGTCTACTGCCCTAATGACCTAATGCTGAGTTTCTTACTGAAGCTAAATTTTAAGGTAGGCTAAGTTTATATTTTTACAGTGACGTTGTTTTCTTATATTTTTATAAAAGTTTTCTTTACAGCATTCTTACTATTTATTGAGGTCTTGCTAGTTCATTTCTTTTTCTAAAAAACAAAGAATAATATGGGCAGCACAGTGGCTAAATAGTTAGCACTTCTGCCTGGCAGTACTAAGGTTGTTGGTTCGAATCCCAACCATGGCACCACCTGCCTTGAGTTTGCATGTTCTCCCTTGTGTCTTTCCTCTGGGTACTCCGGGTTCCTCCCACACTCCAAACACATGCTGGTTGGTTAATTGGATTCTGTCTAAATTGGCTCTAGTATGTGTATGAATGTAAGTTAGGGACCTTAGATTGTACACTCCTTGAGGGTTGGGGACTGATGTAAATGTACAATATATATATATATATATGTAAAGTGCTGTGTAAATTGCTGGTGCTATATAAATACCTGAAATAAATTAAATATAATAAGGTGCCGAACCTGGGTGACCTTTGATCTCTTCTATGTTGTTCAGGTAGAACTCCATGTCTCAAAGGTTGCCTAAACCTGCTGTAGATCATCTCTCAGCATTCACTTCCTGTAGACCATCTCCCAGAAGCCTTCACTTCCTTGTTGCATCACAGACAAGAGTGTGATGGTGTGTGTTCACCACTCTGGACCACACCTCCCTCATTACAATACTACCTTCCACCCACTTTCTATACAATTTGATTGTACAATCTCCTTTAGAAGTACCATCAGCTATGT